ACTGGTGCCTCCTGTGTCTGGGGGAGAACCCGGGGTCCCCTCGTGGCCGATCGTTGAGCTGGCAGGGGGTGTGTCTCCCATGTGCTCAGCGGCAGACCCAGAAGTGGACCAGGGGACACTCCATCCACCCCACCGTCCCAGCGTTCACGAGCTGTGCCTAGTACATCATGATATATAGAAAAAACATTTAAAGCTGTGTCTATGGCTGAATCGCTGATTCTCCAAATCAGCATAAAATATTCACATTCGGATTCAACTGAACTGAATTGGGACCGTGATCCAAATCAATGAATTGTTTCACACACCCCTAATAATTAAGTAAGCTTTTGAAATTTTGGGATAGTTTCATTAAGTCCTAACCTACAGTAGTACCTAGTTGAATTATAAAACATTATAACTTAAGCGCATTTATCATTAATCACGTGTGTGTCTGAAGAACTTCCGACTGAAGAAAACTACAGTCATTCTGAGGAGTTGCGTACTTCTACAAGTACTTTTTAGTATTTTAGAATTAGGTGGTCCAAAGGATCATATAAAATGTTCCCATGCTAGATTTAATATATATTTTTAAGAATACAGTTGCAAAAAGGTGAATTGCTTACAGTAAAATATGTTAGTGCCTTTCAGGGAAAATAACTCTTTTTGATGATGATGATGCCAAGTGTTTGTTATATTGTGTAAGAGTTGTGATTTTCCTGGTATAATTAAAAATGTTATAAAAATCTGAAGTGGCTGCTACCAAGTGTATGGCATTTTTTATTATGCTAAACTGACTAGCCTCAATTCTGTTACACAGACTTATGCAGATCTCTCACAATTCATGTCACAGGCTAGTTTGTTAGTACTTAAGTAAAGAGACTGTTTCTGCTGTAATAAATCAGACTCACTCATTCAGTTGCAGTTCATCATAACGAGCTTTGCAGATCACAAACGAAAAGCGTTTGTTAGAGATGTCTGACATCACTTTTTAATGGAAGGGTAGAGTGACGCTTCACAAATTTTAACTAAATTAATACTGAATCAGTTCTGAGGTAATGATGCTGTAGAGAAAAATATTTTATGAAAGCCCTTTCATAATGTTTTGATGCATCTTAAAGTAAAATAGAACTGCTTCTGTGTGACATTGTTCTAAATGCCAAGGAGCAGATTTACTTGTAGTTTTTATGTATGTGTCATAAAACCATGTGGCTTTAGGTTATTTCTTTGTTGCATTATATCCCTGGAGTGAGTTTAAATAATTGATCTTATAGGAGAAGTACACTTCTGTTTCTTTTGAAAGGTAAAAAGCTTAAGGTATTGCATAAAATTAATAATTTTTTTTTTTATGTTAGAGAGTATAAAAATGTGACCCCCACGTCAGATTGTGGCAGCGTGTTAGTGTTTCTACCAGGTGAGCACTTATTTAAGAATTTTGGTGGTCAGTATGCTTTTAAAATCAGATTTATTTCTGGTGTTGGTTTTTTTCCTTTTAAATATGATAGTTTTATCCCAACGTAGTATGAGTATGGCAGTAACTTACAACATATATAGCACTTTCAAATACCCTGTTCTCTAATCTTATTTTCATATGAAGTTACAATATAGCAAGAGTGGTCTTACAGCTGATTTAAATTTTGACACATAATGTACTTCAGAGTCTGCATAAAGTTTCTCTGTCTTTAGGGAGCCGCAGCTTCTTCACGTGTCTGCCTCGTGTTGTGTTTTACAAATTTTACAAAGACTCTTAAAGCAGGAATTTAGTTTGTGCAGTGGCCTATTGCGAATGCTCGGCAGATAATCCATAAAGAATCACACATCAATTAATATATTTTTTTTTTGCAGAATTAAGGTGGAAAAATTCAACTTGCCTAAGACCTTACAAAATGCATTGATCTGGTTTTGTTTGAGAGGTTCATATGAGTTCTAATACCCGATAAAGTCATCCATCAGATAGCTTTTATATAATTTAGACTTCAGCAGTGTTGTTCTTTTATGTTATCACAATATAATAGTCTCCTTACTATCCTGCAAGCAGCTGCGCTGGCATCAGTGGAACCCTGGCCCGCCTCATTCCTGGTACCAGGTGCATGTGTACCTTCAGGGTAGATGACAGAGAAGGGGCTGGGGCTGCACTGTCACAACAAGGATCAGGCCCCTTGCAGCTCCATCACCATCTGCCTTTGGCATGCCAGCATCTTACAAGTTGAGGTTCTGGGTGTTTTTGGCACTTTGCCCAGAAGCTGTGCCAACTCCTGGCCTATGGTTCTGTTGCAGATATTGGGACCATTAAGAGATTTCCTTACCATACCAGCCAGTATATAATGGAATAATCTGTATCCTCTGTAGTGATGTCTCCTGTGATATCTTCAATAGTGGTTGCTTCCAGCATCCCAGCCCGTCCCAGCATCAGTGATGACATCTAGGGTCCAGTAAAGGTATTATCACCAAAACAGCTGCCTCTGTCCCCAGAGCCAGAAAGGCAGAGAAGCACTAATAAATGCTATAGAAAAGAGATGCATGATTCTTCACATACTAACCACTGCAAAATCTGCCTGTGGTGCGTGAAAATTCAAAATGGGTGAAGAGTACCCTCAAAGAAGGATCCAATTTTAGGTGGAGGAAGAAAAACATTTTTGGGGGGCTGAGCATGTGTGCACACACATGCCTCCCCCCCCCCCATGGGAAAGTCTGCTGGGGGGGCAGGCGGAAACAGCCACAGGGGAGGAGTGACGTTGCCTGGCACCATGCCGGGCCCGCCCCGGCTGCACCTGCCCCAGCCCCAGCCCCAGCCCCAGCCCCAGCCCCAGCCCCAGCCCCAGCTGCCTTCCAGCCCTGGGTGCACTCACCCTAGCTGCCTCCCTGCTCCAGCCCTGGCTGCACACTGCCTGGGGCAGCCCAGAGCTGGGGGCCAAAGCAGAGCCAGCCTCAGCTGCACTGCTGGGCCAGAGGGCTCCTTGCCTCTGTGCCTCCCTGCTCCCGCTGATTCAAAAGCGTCAGGCGCCATGTGTGTCCTGCTGCTGAGCAGGCTGGACAGTGAGGCACATGGCAGCGTGCTGAACCACTTTCAAAGGAGCTGCAGCAAGGCAAAGAGCAGAGTGCAGCTCACAGCTGCAGCCTGTCCTTGCCCAGTGCAAAGACTGGGGGACCACACGTTCCCCACCCCGCCTTGGCTGTCCAGCATTGCAGGAACCACTGGGTTCTGGTTGTCCCAGGGCCCAATTCACTGTGAATGGGGCCCTGGCCAGGCCAGGTCATGGGGCAGTTGGAGCCCAGATGCTCGTCTAGGGGTGCGGAGCTGAGAGTGGGGTGGAATTCCCTCCTCCCCTGCTTGGCTCCCCACAGTGCGCAGCAACGGGAGCTGCTTGCCCACACCCCTGGATGAACTGCTGGGCTCAGATTTGTCCTATGACTCAGCCTGGCTGGGGCTCCATTCATGGTGAACAGGGCCCTGGCTCGGTCATGGGACAATTTCCAGAGTGCAGCAGGGAGCAAGCGTGAATGATTTGCCCTGCCCCTACTGCATTCTCTTGCACTTGGGGTGGGTCTCAATCTGCTGCCCCCCCCCCCCCCCCGGGGGG